ACAGCCCGACAGAGACGATAGAGCCTAGGACCCTTTATTTCGGATGCCTTAGGTACCGGGATATTGTGGAGCCGTACATGCCTAAGCGGTTTTTGCGTCAGCTCGGCTACGTGCAGACTATCCCTCCCCGCATGCTCTGTCCAACCACTACAGTACGTGCTTGGGAGTCTAGGTTTTACAAGGTAGAGCATGCTGATACTGCTGCAGAAGATAACTGGACCCAGTTCCCGGAATATTGTTCTACAAACTTGTTTTCCTGCACCCCCACCGGAGCTGATCGAGGGGAAGCCAGTCAGGAGTATCTTACCTGGTACGCTAAGTATTCTCATCCTGTTATTTTGAGTACCAGTCTGCCGGACGAGCACGGGGTCCCTGCGAGCGCCAATGTTGAATATGTAAGTTGTTTAATAAATCTTAATTAAGGTGCTTTCATTACAATATTTTTTTTTTTTCATTTATAAGTGATCATATATTTTAATTCTTCTAATTTTTGTGTAGTGGATGAATAGTTCACTAGCCCTTACGTCAGGCCTCGTGCAGCGAATCCAGAGTGTTGTTCCTGATTTGGCGGCAGAATATGGAGGGTCGTTGTCCCTCCTTATAGACGATTGGGAGAGGTCGGAGCGTTGATGCAATGAATGTTGTTGTTGTTGTTTTTTTTTGGGATTTTACTGTGCTGGCGATGACTTACTGAATTTGTTTCTTATTGTATTGTATTGTTGTTAGTTAATTTTATTTTAATCTATTTCCTCCAAATAGATGAAAACACACGAGTCGTGACAGCACCTTTTTTTGGGCATATTTCCTCTAACATAGATTAAAAAATAAATAAAACAAAATGGTCCACAATCATGAAATGAATGAAAAATATAATGAATGTCATTTGAATATCACTCCACAATCATTCGGCTGAAGTACGAATATCACGCCACAACTGGAACCTGTTCTGGTAGATACCATCCCATCCATCAACCGTGCGATCTCGGTATGTATCCCAAAAAGCAAAAAGAGGCGGTAATGGAAAATTAGACATATTCAGACGAATGAAGTGTTCGTAAGAACCAAGATGACCCATGACAATCTCCCGTTCAGGTCGTGTAGCCGTGGATGGTGCCCGGAGCGGCAATACTGTCACACTGTTGAAGTTCATATTGTTGTCGTTCGGACCCAAGCCTAACAACACGACAACAGCATTAAACAGTGTAGCAATAGGAAAGAGGTCGCCTACAACTTCCATCCAGTGCTCTCTGTCACAAGAGCCCCCGTCCCATCTTATCCGTCTTAGTGCGACGTCGATCCCACCATTAAAATAGAAAGGTGCGTACCAGTGGCTGTAGCTGGAAACCTCATTTGCAATGTTGGTTCTTGCCAGATGCCACCTCTCCTGATCCCTATACACGTAACTCGCGACAACCCGAAATCCGCAATTCCCATCCAGCTTAACATCCAGATAGCTCTCTATGTAGTTGTGAACTACGTAAGGAATTCTGTGACGAAAATAGAAATGCAAGAAATCTGTCTGGAAAAAAAAGGCACCTGTCTGATCTTCTGTAGGTTGAGAAGACGAGCTTGTCGGGGCGGTCGAAGAAGTGCTTTTACGCCCCACCGGATGTCCTCTTTCTCGGTAGTCCCATATCGATGGATTACATGAAGAAGTACTTTTACGCCCCACCCGACGACCTGTTTCCGTGTACTCTGATTTCGATGGAGCACACGAAGAAGTGCTTTTACGCCCTCTTTGACTGTACTCCCATTTCGATAGATCGCGCTTTGTAGAATTTTTCTTCTTGGGCCGACCTCTCGGATTTTCCTTCACTGTAGGTTCTATATAACCTTGTTGGTCAGGGTGAAGTTGAGAGTGGATGAACTGGTTCAAGTAGCGCACCGTCGCAGGATCGGCCATTTCAACCTCTTCAGCAAGGCTCCGAAAAAAATCATGATCTGTCCATCCACTCGCCAATCCACTCTGCTTACCTGTCCGTACAAAAAAATTTGAAAAGTTAAACCACATACTTTGTCTATAAATTCCATAAATCAAACAATATGTGAAGTAGATTATATTATGTATAATATATAATTTTTTTATTATTAAATAAATACAATTCATTATATAATATATAATTATATATTCATTATTAAATATATTTTACTTCATTATAACATTCAAATATATTTCATTCTAATTAATAATAAAATATATTAATATATATTAACATATTTAAATATTAATATATATTAATTATTAATTTTATAATTAATATATATAAATATATATTTAAACATTTTTCATAAAAAAAAAAAACAAATCTCACAATTATACCTGACCCTAACACCTCTAGTGTGGTCCAGAACCTGTGGACCATTTGGGGCATAATCGGCACTCCCATCACGTGTGCTGCTCTTAGGTCACAGGAACAAGGAAGTCCATGAGTGGATCTCAGTGCACATCCACAGCGCCGCGAAGTGTCTACGCTCAACTCTTGCATCTTCTGATGCTCATCATTCAATAATCTTATACAGTAATGCGAGACCCGCAGTCTCAAGTGCTCGAAAGGGAATTTTTTGTAACCCGTATGCATCCTAAGTCTGCAAGACTCCAGCGTCTCTCTGACAATACATTACATGACATTAGACCCAATTAAACTTATAATTAATGCAATAATAACACAATAAAATATGTATAACTTAAGGAAAATACCTGATTTTAGTATGTTGAGACTCTATCTCCTTATGAATTCTCCCACACCGTGTCGAGCGAACCGATCGACGTGTTAAGCCACTGCTTCAACGTAGCGTGGGCACTCTCCACCCTACACGTCGTTGTGTTACCAAAATGTAAAACAGTGTCCGTCCACACTTTGACAAACTTCTCCTTGTGGACTAACCACGTCTGCTCCACATATTGTAACACCTTAGTAAAAGGCGCGTACCGACCATACATCTCACAAACACAGTGTTGTATTCATCCAACGTGCTCGCTTCGATGACGTTCTTCCACCTGCCGTGCGTGAAGTTCTGAGCGAAATCCCTATTTTTCTTTGCTAGTTTATAGACCTTGTCTTCCACATCCTTGTTGATGTGCCACGTGCAAAGTAAGTGGGACGACTGTGGGAAATTTCTTCGAATAGGAGTAATCAAGCCCAACTCCCTGTCAGTGACAATGGCCGAAGGATGTAAATCAGGCCCTATCAAATGTCTCAATCGCTGCAAAACCCAGTCATAGCTATACTCGGTCTCGTCCTTGATAATTGCATAGGCAATTAAAAAGTTCTTGTTGCAATGCGTCATTCCAATCATTTCCACCAACGGCATCTTGTACCTGTGCAAATGAAAGCAACATAGAATAAAAAAACTTACTCAAACATACTAATTAAGATTCACGCTAAATTGTTATTTATAATGTAACATAGCATACCTGTTGGTTTTGTACGTCGAATCTGTACCGACATAATAGTAATATGTACGGAATAGATTGGCTGATTGAGGATGCGACATGAACACATGTGTCAACGCCTGTGTGACGTCATCAGTCTCAGCGTAAACTATATAATTGCTATTTCTAGCCAAGTGAGTAAGCTGGCCAATTACATCTCTACCTTGCAAACTATCTCTGCGCATTTTATTTGTATAGTTATACACTTGTCGCACGGTAGCATTGTCTGCAGAGTTTTTATCCTGAATCGCAGCCAAAATTGCTGTCGGTTTTGCCTGAGCACCACTCATATCACGGACAATCTCTTTAGATGAATCACTAAGTCCGCTCATCTGTCGATGACCCTCGGGATACACAATCATCGCATGATTATGCGTTCCCTTATTATCATCATCATAAGGAACCCAAATATACCATTTTTTAGATTGTGCGTCCAATTTGACTTTTATCATAAAAGGGCAACCGGTCGCTTTAGTTTTCCAACGTCTCAAAACAACATTAACAAATTTCGTAACATTACCTCTGTAACGTTCCCCTCGATTACACCTCAACCACCGATGCTTTCCTTCTTTATCGTGTTTCGAGATTACTAATTCGAAACCATTCTCAATTGCCAATTATTTTGCCCACTTAATAGCTTCTTCACAACTATCAAATAGCTCATCTGTAACGAAAGCAGGTCTGTAATCTCGACCGTCTCCTCCAAAATCTTCGAACGGCGCCTGTAATATATTACGATGTATGTTAGTTATTTTACAAGATAATCAATGATAACTTCTAACATAACAATAGTAAATTGTACTCTAAATTTATTATACAGTCAATTATAACTTGTAATATAATAATAATCTATAACAGAATAATTGTAATATAACACAATCAATTCTAATCTATAATACAATAATTTCTACTTCATAATTATATTTCGTAATATAATTTATATAAAACAACAATATATACTAATATATTTTTTTCTATTACAATTATTTAAATTTTATACTATTATAAATATATAAATATACTAATATAATATTGTATATTATAATAATTAAAATATTATACTATTATATAATTATTTAANAGCCCCGCCTCAAAAGTTGTTAGGCTGGACGAGGCCCGGCCTCAAAAGTTGTTGAGGCTGGACGAGGCCCGGCCTCAAAAATCGTTAGGCTGGACGAGGCCCGGCCTCAAAAGTTGTTAGGCTGGACGAGGGCTGGCCTCAAAAATGTTGAGGCTGGACGAGGGCTGGCCTCCATCACCGGCCGGCCAGCCGTAGAGCGGCCGGTTTCGCCGGCCGGCCACCGCAAAAAAATAAAGAAAAAAAAAAAAACTTACATTTACGGACGACATTCTTTCGCCGGAATTTGTCGTAATTCGCCGGAATTGGCCGCCGGAATTCAAACGAGGGAGAGAGGAATTACAAAGAGAGAGATAAATTGAAAATAGAGAGAGGAAAATATTTTGAAAAAATGAGTTCAAATTTTTTTTAATAAGAAAAGGGTATAAATGTATTTTTGGGGGGCGGTGAGTAGTAATAAGGGGCGATAAAATTCCTTCCCCTAACACTTCAATTTTGACCACCACGTATTGCCATAACTCGGCAATCACTCGACACGTGCTGTCCACGTGTTGCAATAACTCGGCAGTCCCTCAATACGTGTTGTCGAAATGGTCGCCTCTCGAACCCTCTGCCGACTCACATTTTTAAACACCCTCCGGTAATAAAACTCCGCCCATCCAAATTTCATCCCCAACAACTTTTTTTTTTTTTCAAAAGGGTAAAAAATAAAATTAAAAACTTCAGTCCAATGGCACCCAAGAGGCGGTCTGGTAGGGCGGTGAAGACGGTGGTGACCACCACGAAGGTGGTGGAAGAGACCGTCAAGGTGGTGGTGGGCCCCAACGGAGACGAATCCGAGCCGGTCGAGCTACTCTCCTCCTCCACCAAAGAGAACCGGGACATCATAATCACCGAACCGGTTTCCAAAACCGTTCCGGTTCAGGAAAAGCCAGATCAGCAAGAGGAAGCGGACATCGGAGACGACGATGACGAGACCCAGCCGACATCCCAGCCGGAAGTCACCCCGGCGCCTCCGGAACCGGCCGCCGGAGCTCAAAAACCGGTCGGACCGTCTACCCCGCGCGAGGACCGGGAAAAGATGAAGAAGAAGCAGAAGGTGGCCGGGAAGGAGAAACCGGCCGCCGCCGCCGCCGCCGCCGGCGGAGAGGGGAGGAAGAGGAGGCGGAGGAGGGGCGGCGGGGGGCCGGAGGGGTACAAGAGGTACGTGTGGAAGGTGATGAAGCAGGTGCATCCGGAGATGGGGATGTCGTCAAAGGCAATGACGGTGGTGAACAACCTGATGGTGGACATGTTCGAGCGGCTGGCGGAGGAGGCGGCGCGGCTGCAGGGGCACGCCGGCCGGAAAACGATGTCGTCCAGGGAGATTCAGGCGGCAGTCAAGCTTGTCCTGCCCGGGGAGCTCGGGAAGCATGCCATAGCTGAGGGGACTAAGGCTGTCACTAACTACGTTTCCTATGTTGCCTGAGGAAATTAGGAAAAAAGTTAATAATGAAATTGTCTTTAAGCGTGTATGATCAGTTGTAGTGTACTAGTGTTGTGTGATGATTAGTTGGTTGTTGGAGTTTAGTACTTAGTGATGATGTCTGTTTATTTAGTTGTAAATTAGTTAAATCGGCGTTTTGTAAAAATCAAATTTCCTTTTACCCATGTAATTTAGGTGTTATTTTTGGTGTGACTTAATGCTTGAATAAAAATTTTCAAAAAAAATAAAACATTTTAAATTAATTTTTTTTTACTTAATTTTATTATCATTAATATTATCAATATAATCACAGCATATTAATTTAAATTCGCTTATATAATTTTAACTAATCATCATTTCAAATCATCTATTTTTTATTTTCACATCAAATTAAATTTAATTATTTTATTTTATATATTATTTTATATTATACCTACTAGTATCAGTTCAATAATTTCTATAAAAGGATACTATAGAAACCTCTGGATATTATAAAAGGATATTATTTCATCACAATTTTCTCTGAATAATAAAAGATACTATCAACAGCATCAAAAGATACTATAGAAACCTTTAGATATTATAAAAGGATATTATTTCATAACAATTCTCTCTGAATAATAAAAGGATACTATCAACAGCATCAAAAATCTGCTTCACCAACCAATCATTCCATTGCATACCATCAGTTTGCAATAATTCATGAAATCAAACCAACCAATCATTCCATTGCATACCATCAGCTTGCAATAATTCATGAAATCAAATCATATGTCCTCTAGCAATTGGAATCAGAGTAGGTGAAGGCTTATGAAGGTGAGACACTAAGTTGAAGTCTCAGAGTAGGTGAAGGCTTATGAAGGTGAGGCACCAAGTTGAAGTCTGAGATTCTTGTATCAACTCCAGATCTGATTTCAATCTTCAACCATTGGAGAATGTAGGCATCATTTTCATCCAGCTATTCCACGTTCAAGAGCCACTTGATTTTACTGCCTCAGTGATAGATGAATGTGGAAAGTATCTGTCTTTAAGAACCTGACTAACCAGAAGGTCAGGGCTAGATGTAATTCTCCATAATTGTTTGCAAATAAGAGCCTGGTTGAAGACTTGTAAGTCATGGAAACCAAGTCCTCCTTGCAATTTGGGAAGAGAAAGAAACTTCCATGTTGACAGTGAAGCTATACTCAAAATTTCTACACTTAATCCTAGCAGAAAAGATAGGTTGTATTGGGGTTTGGAGAAGAAAGGGCACTTTACAGTCTCAAGCACTTATGACTATCTTTCCAAGATTAAACTCTCTTAGTTAGATATACCAAAAAGCAGCTCACAAGTCACCCTTTGCAAGGCCATTCAGTTTAGACACTGGAAGCTGAATATTGCAGCGAAATTGAAGCATTTTTTATGGAAATGTCTTACAGGCACACTACCTGTGACAAGCCATCTGAAAGAAAAGAAAAGTGAACATTGACCCAATATGTGAAATCTGTGGTGAGTCCACAGAGACTGTTGAACATGTTCTGTTTTCTTGTGCTAGAGCTATCCAAGCTTGGAGATTATCTCCTGTGCATCGGGATGGACTTCTCCATTGTACTGATTCATTCAAAGCATGGTGGTATCAAGTTTGTTCACTAGATCACTCTAAAGTGGCCGAAGCTAGGATTCAATTGTCAACATACATCCTTTGGTGGCTTTGGAAGTCTAGGAACATTGGATTTTTCAAAAGTCTCTCATGCCGGAATTCGTGTTGATTAAAGTAGCTCAGTTGGATTGGCTTGCTTTTTCTAGCTTCTTAGTTTGCTTTTCTTTTTTGTAGGAGGTAGACTTCTTGCTAGGCTTCATTGCAGTGGTAGGAAGTCTATTTCATTGTTTTTATTTTTTGGTTTGGTCATCCATCCCCGGTTTTTTCTTGTTGAGGTTCTAGGCCACATTATGGTGCGCCTCTGATTTTTATGTTTTGGTGAAGTTATGTATGTTGGACATTGTATTCGAACTTTGTTCGTTTTGAGTTATATGATAGTTCCTCTGTCATTCTTGAAAATAAGAATAAAAATAATAATAAAAAGATACTATAAAAACCAATGTTCTGAAAATTGGACCGGTCAAACTACTGGTTCAATGGTTCACTGATCTGACCAGTAGTTGAACCAGTTGGATCGGTATTTAGTTTATTGATATTTGTAATTATATAATAAAATTTATAAATAAGACTTTGTTACTTAAATATTAATCTAATTTAAAACATTCAAATACTTAAACTAACTAATATAAGATTATATGTACCTATTATATTTAAATATGTATTTTTTATTTATATTAAAAGTATTTTTAAATGAATTAAAATTTATTTTTTTAAAAAGAAAAACTTGACTGATTTTGACCATTTGTGACCAGTTTTTACTGGTTCAACCGTAAAATGCATATTAGAAAGATATAGTTGTCTAGCCATTTAAATTTGTTTAACAATTGCCTCACTCGAAGATAAAAGGTCTAATGTACTAGAAATCTATATATATATATATATATATATATATATATATATATATATATATACAGGATTTGATTCAAATGAGAACTAAGTCCTAGCGTGAGAACCGTGAGAACCGCTATTTTTAATTGTATGCATTGCTATGATTGATTGTATTCTAATGCTATTTTTAATCAGGATTTATTTTATTAAAAATAGCAACACAATTTATGTTAGCATTTGTAAAAATGATAGCACCATTTGAGATTAAAAATAGCATCATACACAATTAAAAATAGCACCAAATATGGTTCTCACGGTTCTCACACCAGGACTAGTAGCAACCCCTATATATAATAAGAATTACCATTTACCAAAAATAGTAGCAAAAAAATAAGTCAGAATTTAATGCAGTCTATAAATAGTAAGTTTTATTATTTTTCTTATTTATTTCTATAAAAATTATACAGCATTAAATGTTACCTTAGATTTCTGGTTTTAGTTCATTTTATTATTTAAAAAATCCGACTAAGATTTATTAAGTTTGTCTGTTTTTATTTTAATTTTTTTCTTAGAAACAACGAATCATATTAAAATCTCGGTCTCTATATTTATAAAATCTCAATTCAAAATATAACAAAAGTTTTAGAATCTCGGTCTTTATAATTGTGCCTTTAAAAAAAATATTGAACGCTAAAAATATTCTTTAAATTGCTAATCAATCAATTAATCTTAATTATTTGAAAATTACTATGTTATTTTTTTATTAATATGCATAAAGTAAAAATAATTAATTCATCTTTAAATATATAATTTATAATCTTAATACTATCATTTGGTGTAGATATTTATTATATGCATCATAAAATATTCTTATTTCATAAAATTAAATATATTTAAAGAAAATAAGAAAAAAAATTTTGGATCAATCGGGTGATTGAATTAGGGTAGTGCCAGATTGATTGAATTACTTTGAGGTGATATTTAAAATAGTCAACAAACTTGACACAACTTGGTTGGTCCATGTGACTATATTATGTATCAGTTCAACCACATCAAATCGATTATTGAACTTAAATATAAATTTTATATTGGAAATATTTTATTACGTGAATGTGATGTAGTCCAAACTTCAAATAATCGTATTAACAATAATTTTATGACAACATGTTTAATGATTTATGAATATTTGTATATCATTTTATTAATATTTATTTGAATTAAATAATAAATTATTATAATATTTATTAATGTATAGTAAATATAAGGTTTTCAGAACTGGACCGTCATCGAAACGATCAAACTATTTTATTAAATCATTTGTGGTTTGTTCAGATTTTAATTTATAAATATTTTAATAGATATATATATATATAGTACTTTTTGTAATAAATTTAAATAAAATGTACTACTTAGATATCTAAACAATTTATAAATTCAAATGTTTAAACTAATTAGTAAATAATTTATAAATTTCTATTTTATTTAATAATGTAATTTTATAATAATTTTAAATAAAATAAAATTTATTTAAAAAATCGTATCGATCCTACCTGTCCAATCAACTGGTGTTGAGTGTTGAAGGATTCGAGAGAAAATATTTTATTCAAGCGAACTAGACTGGTAATAAATCGGTTCTCGGTTTATCCGGTCTGACTGTGTCCAACGACTCCAACCCAGTTTAATTTAAAAACAATGGATAAATCATGATTAATGTTATTTATATATTTAATTTATAACGCAATCGTAATATTGTTTTCCAGCGCATCGCACGGGCCACGCACTAGTATAGATTATAGAAAGAAAATAAAAAAGTTCCATCTCATATAAGCATTATGATTTCGAACACAGAACCACAATGCATTCAAATAAACAAAGTATTTGAATCATTATAAAAAGTCCTCAACAAACCATATATGTCATTGATGTATCAAAAAAACCATATTTCATCCCCAAAAACAAATTTATGTAATCAAAACTTCGCAACTTGTGATATAGATTTCCACAACCAAATCAAACTGTTCTATTAGTTCTGCTATTTCAATACTTTTTTATCCACACTAAAAAGCCATCACTAATAGCTAATGACTTTGGGGTCAGGCATCTGTATATTTATATCAGTGGTCTCAAGCGAGCTGGTATCACTTTTTTCCGCGCTGTGCCAAAAGAAATTGACCAAAAATACATAAATTAGAGTCCAGAGGCTGTTGTAATCTGCAAAACAAAAACTAACAATGAAAAAAAAAAGTCCAAATTTTACAACTGTAGCCGAATGTATGAAAAGAACATATGAGAAAAGAGTTTGATTATTACCTATTGCGGACTTCCAAGATCAATTTGCATCATTCCTCATTTTATCTATATGTTGATTTATTTATTTATTTATTTTAATTATGAGTTGCCGAGGTGAAATAAGCTTCGACAGCCTCGACCACTGGGGCCTCACACATCGGGCATTTTCCCTTACACCTGACCAAATTTTCAGCACATTTTGAACACAGGCACATGTGCCCACACCTGTTTTTAAATAAGATAAATAATAAATTCAAATATGTTGGAGACAAAATCCAAAAAATGGGAGTTCATAAAATGGCTAAATGGTGTAACCTGTAGAGCAGGACATCAATTTTACTGTCCCTACACATGCAGCAAATTCCTTTCCTCACATGATCCCACTTGGACTCCATAGATGCATCTTCATCTGTTGACAGGTAAATATCACAATGTTAAAACTCATTCTCAAGAATGGAAA